TCTCAACCTACTGAAGCACAAAGAGCCAATAGCCAATAACGCCTCCACTGAGACTCGAACTCACAACCTCCTATATAGGAGTCCACCTGAGTGCCCTCTGTGCACAAGGTGCTTGGCTCGTTGAATCAATTTAATCTAATGGTAGTGGTAATTCTGAGTATTTTCGTGCGTTTTGGTAAGTGGGGGTGTTATGGTAATTATAGTGGCCATTTAAAGCGGTCGGGTTCCAGAATACACCAACAATGTTGGCAACATACACCAATAGTGTAATAAAACACACCACAATGAAACACACCAATGGTGTATTCCCGTGTTATGGTAATTACAGTGGCTATTTATAGCGGCCGTGTTCCAGAATACACCAACAGTGTTGATAACATGCACCAATAGTGTAATAAAACACACAACAATGTGATTTTCCCTATTCCGGTGCTTTATGACGAGTTTACCCTTGCAGTTCGCTGGGTAGGAGAATGTGCGCGAAGATACTGGAAGAATCTTGATTAATATGATTCATTGGATCTATCTAATCTAATGACCTATAATTGGCCATATGACCACACCTAACAACATGGCCACATGTGATCACCCCTCTATATATATATATATATATATATATATATATATTTCTTTTTTTTAATACTATTGACTCTATTACAAGATACAAGATAGTATATGTTCTATACTTTCTCTAATTACTGCAGCTTAAAAAGTCAACACCTCACCACTGGAGTTTGATCATGTGATATTTCCTCAAAAAGAATTATAAAGGTGTCATCTGAGCACAAAGTGCTTGACAAACAAGCTTCTATATATATATGAAATTGGTGAAAATTTTAAGCTTATCTCTCCTATTATTTAATATTAAATTGTGTTGAAGTTTAAACTTTCTAAAACAACTTCGCATTCGAAATTGATGAGCTTTTAAGTAATCTCTTATGTATTGCATATATTAAATTAAGTTAAAATTTATAGCGATCGATGTCAATTGGGTCGTCACTCGTCAGTCTAATTTAGCGGTTTAGACTTATCATTTTTGGCAAATTATGCCGTGGAAACGTGTCCATCATGCATGGTGGAGTAGTTCCCAAAATGGCGTCGTTTTAATTTTTTTTTTTTTTTTAAATATTTTGAAATTGTTTTTCACTTATTGTTAATGGCGTTTCTCTCTAAGCAATCGCACATTTTCTAAATTATGGCTATGTGTTCATAATTTAATAATAAATATATATTCATAATTGTAGGGCTATATGTTTATAATTTTTGATGTTCATATTCCCAATTGTTGAACTCTATATTCACAAATCACAGAACTATATGTTCATAATTTGATAACTATACAATTTAGAAATTATGACTCTACAGTATATAAATTATGAATCTACAGTACATATATTATGAATCTGCAGTATAGAAATTATGAATATACTGTATAGAAATTATAAATATACTGTATAGAAATTATGAATCTACGGTTTATAAATTATGAATCTACAGTAAAGATTTTATGAATCTACAATAGAAATTATGAATCTACAATATATAAATTATGGACGATAACAGTGTCACTATCAACACAGTTACTCAACCACATGAAAACGACGTCGTTTGGAACCGTTCCCACCTTGCAAGGTGGGGACGATTCCACAGCATAACACTCCATCATTTTTTTGGTCGAGTTACATTTTTTTTTAATCCTAATCTTATAACCTTATACTTTTGGGACCTATAAGACGAGTTCAATTAATATTTGTGACATTTTAAAATTAACATTCTGTTGAAAGAATATTCAGAATAGAAAGAAAGTGGGGGAGGAAAAGCCAGGATCTTCTCATTCATCATCTAGAATTCTTATACAAAAGTATACATATATACAAGGTAATAATGAATACATATAAAATGTAGCAACCTAATAAGTTACAACTGGTACCATGTATATAATAATGTAAAAAATAATCATATTTATAACACTCCCCCTTGGATTTTATTTGACATGATCCTGTAAAAACTTGCTACATAGACCTTGTGGGAAAAACCTAGACAAAAAGAGTATAAAATATAAATTTATTCATACCTCGTTAAAAACTTCACTTTGAAAACCACGTGGGAAAAACCTAGTTGAAGAAAAGAGTACATGATATTTGTAAGAACATATATTGTACTGATTGTCTCATTAAAAACGTTAACTTAAGAAAACCCTGTGGGAAAAGCTTAGTTAAGGGAAAAAGAGTACAACCATAAGCCTTCAACGCACAATCGGCCTAATCTTCAAGATTTTGGGGTTTGTCTACTTAAGAAATTATTTTGTAACTTTTTCTCATTTACATTACTATATCATACTCATGCCTCATTAAAACCCTCACTAGAAAACCCAGTGAGAAAAAATCAAGTTGAAGAAAAGAGTACATGATGTATGTTTATTCTTGTTTTAGATTAGCTGCCTCATTAAAAACCTTAGATTTAAAAAAAATAATAATAATAATAATAATAAAAACCCCGTGAGGAAAAACTTAACTATGGAAAAAAGTACAGTTATTAGTCTTCAAGACCCAATCTTCAGGATTGATTCATGCAAAATGATACTCCCTCTCAAGATAACAATCTTTAAGTTCCATACATTATATTTCAAAAATGTATAGGGGAATTTTGTAAATACACATGTACAACTGGCAATGGAATAAATATACTCTATAATAATCTCATGTCTCTTCTGGAGTTCGCGTGGTATAATATTGACATCATAATATCTAGTCAAAAAGATTTCATTATATATCCTTTTGTCATTTGTGCAACACAATCTTTATTGAGTCTTTATGGGACAATGTGGGTAAATATAGTACAACCAATTTTGAAACTTGACATTATGGGGATACAAAAATAATATCCAGTACCCAAGTAGCCGTATATTGGCTTGTCTAAGTATCCAATCAGAAATCATATATTGGCTAACTGGTGTATAAAAATTCTTCAACGAAAAACTCGATCTTCAAGTCGAGATAATACTTAGTTTTCCCGAGCCTTAAAAAAAATCTCCGTCTTTAGACATTAACTGATATCATCAAGCTCTTTAGATATTTCATTGATGTTTACACTATCAAGCACATAATGGTACATATTATTCCTTGTTAATGAGGATAATAACTCCATTCGAAACTCTTCAAAAAGTAAATAATGACACATAAATACATATTCCTTCTTCGAGAGGAAAAAATACTCAGCCAATTCTTAATTATTTCAGGTCATATAAAGACCTTAATATTTTAACGTTGCGGTTTTCACTTTTTCTCATTTTGAGAACTTAAAATCCTTCGGGTGTACTTTTGAAATTAATGTTAGTTGCATATCTAAGTTTATTATTCTGTCAATAATATTATGTAGCGGAACTTAATGTCATTTACCATGGGAGAGTATATTTGATTAGATCAATCAAGGGTATCTGCGTGAACCCTTAGGCTACAAACTCGCTTCATATCATATCACCTTGGTATTCTTATGTCTCTTTCGTGTACACACCAATTTGTAACATTCGGGGTTAACACTCAATGGTGTATTGTTATAAAGAGAATTATTCATTTTAGCGAGTCGAGCTATGCCTTAATTGCTGTTTTATACGTTAAATAGTCATGGCACTTCCGGTGCCTAACTCTAGATCCAGATTATCATATAACGGAGAAATTTGTAGAGGCAATTGTGTTATCGACAACTATAATACTTTCATAAATATCTCACATATTTATAATTGTTCATGGCAATATTTAAGTCAACCAGATTCTAGACATTTCCCAGAACTATTCAGATCACATCTGGTTGTCCCGCATCCCTAGTATTATGTTTGTTTGGTGCACCTATGAATTGACTAGGGTTTCTCGTCATCTGGACGAGCGTCTCCAGGACTAAATTATTCAAGCTTTTCCAAGAGTGACAATGTTTATTTACTAGATTTAGTATTATGATTCTTATCTCTTTTCACCGATAGATCTCCTATACTTCCAGTGTCAAGGAGTATCAGTAGATATATTTGGTCCAAGTTGGGAAAGGTATATGGACCTAGTCACTCTTTTATGATCACTATGATCAATAGATATCTTTGGCAGATTATTTGCTAAAGTCGCAAATATATAGACTATCTTTTGAACTTCTATTTCAATCTAACTAGTACGTGGATTTCATAACTGATGAAGATCTTTCCATTGCATGGAACTTCTCAGCATTTCATTAAATTTGGGTTCATCTCCCCCTAATGTCGTGAAATGATCTTCATGATGCATGTATGTAGTCAGCGTATCTATTGATCCACTATGATGGTCTCTAAGTATTTAAACAATAGACGGAGGTTTATAACACATAGAGATACGCGAGAGGTGGTGATACAATAAAATAGACTACATACTAAGACTAGAAACGCAGATCGGGAAATGTGTAATTCTACCACGTACTATGTGTATGGGGGAATAATTACGATATGCAAGGAGTCAGATTTGAATTAATACAAATATCCCCAAAAATAAATAATTTGGTAATTTCTCATCCACACATGCTTTATAATTTACTCATATATGGGTAAGAAATTTCAATATGTGACTCATTATGTTTGGCCTAAGTGACCCAATTGTTCATGCCATAATTTAAAGGAATTTGGGTCTTTACAATTTGAAAAAAAATATCACAACATATAGAGTACTCATAAGTATAGGCACATATATGTCCAAATGGAGAAAGCATACATATTAATTAAATGAGATTATACGAGTATGCAACCATCTTAAATAGGTTAAACGCCAAATATATGTATAGATGGTGAGACCATTCAGGATCTCAAAAATTCATAAACATATGAGAAGTCATCGTCATCAAATATATACAACTATAATTTACTTCTAGCTTTCAAACACATAGCATTTTAAATAACTATATCATGTATTACTTTGTGACATGATCCATAAAATATTTTGGATTGAATAACATATTTTGTAGTCAAGTTGATAATATATTAAGTAAAATGGTCTTAGCAAGGTTTGAACCCACAACCTTTAGCTCATAAGACCAACACTCTAACCAACTAAGCTATAAGACCATTTATTCCTACTTCGATGAGTCAAAAACAACACTTTTCCAAGAAAGCTCTCATTTTTCCTAGTTTCATAAAGCATCCAAACAACACAAAATTGTAAGATATACAAGCTGAAAACCGGCAGATATTTTCAGAATTTTTTTGGACCTGGATTGCAGAATTTTCTAGGGGAAAACGGTAACACATTTTGACACAAAATTTACCAGATAAGAAGTACATCGAGTCTAGATTTTGCACAAAAAATTTCAAGCCAATCTAGATAGAAAAATAACTGGAAGCACACTACCAAAACTTTACAAAAATTTTCCAGAACAACCTTTTTAATAAAACATTTTTATGGACATCAAATACCACAAGTCTAGGTTCTTTAGAAAATATTTCAGGCCAAAAGGAGTTCAAAAAGTATTTTCACAAATTTAATTTTCAAGCTGCAGCGATCAGAATTTTCAGGCATGCCTCAAATTTTATGCAAATAAATCTAACACTCAAGAGGTTTTTTATAACGAAGTACTTATAAAAGCTTTGTAGGCAAGCAGCATAAGGCATTAGGTATGTATGGAAGTCATTGAAACTTGTCAACTTGAGCAGTACTACATATATTATGCATATTCCAAAACAAAATCACATTCATTAAATAGTAATATATCTCATGAATGTATTAAAGATTAAATGTGAGTACTTAGCTCTTGTATTGAAGGCCAGTTTGAAGAGTCCGCAAGCCACATGGAGAGTTCATTAAATCTATTATATTCTTGCTCAGATTTCTGTCATAATTTCACATGAAGAAAACAAATGTTTCGCAAATGTATTATTATCGGTGGAATACTAGCCCGGCGGCAACTACGCCAGCAAAACCTACTTGAAGAAATCAATCTTTTCAAACCACTTCATCACCCAACAACACCGCAAACAAGTCCCAGATTTCCTTTCTCTTTTACTCCATAGACCCCACCAAAAACCTTAACCAAACCGTGGCTTAGAGCGAAACCTCCGCCGCCGTATCCCATGTGGCCTAGAATTAAATAACCTCACGTATGCTTTTGAATTTGAAGAAAGTAGGACCTCTACTCTTGTGACCTACAAGTGCATAGACAAAGCCAACAAATTTGAGTAAAGTGGCAGACACTTCACGTTAACTATGCAAAAGAGAAGGGTGACAATATTCTCCAAATATAATCTACTAACAGCAAATTAGCAATAAACAAAGCTTTCAATCTCATCTCCTTCTCTCAGCATCAACTAATCTGGTTTATTCGGTACTCACAGTATAGAGACGATTGCTAGGGCGGAGAGATTGATTGCAAAAATCTATTAGGTAAAGCATCATGTGTTGATAACGTGTTGAAAAAATATTCAGAATAGACAGAAAGTGGGGAGGAAAAGCCAGGATCTTCTCATTCATCATCTAGAATTCTTATACAAAAGTATCCCTATATACAAAGTAATAATGAATACATATAAAAGGTAGTAACCAAATCAGTTATTACTGCTACCATGTATATAATAATGTCCACAATAATCATATTTATAAGACATTCTAAATTTTTAAGTTTAATAAACTAGCACATTTTACATTAATAAATAGGGATAAGGGTTAAATAGGTCTTTCAACAATAAGCTAAAGTCCAATTAACCCAATAAACTACCGAAAGTTCTAATTATACCCTTCATCTCTTCACTTGTATGCAATTAAGTACATAACTTCTTAAATTTGTGTAATTAGCTCAATTTACAGGAAAATACAAGGTAATAGCAGGTAAAATTAATTTTTTTTAAAAAAAATTACAAAAAAAAAAACGGCGGCCTTATTCTCCGGGTTGTTGGAGGATGATTAATTGATTATCGAATATGATCAAGTTATCTGGATTAACTAGACTGAGTTACCAGTCAAAAGACATTTGATAAAGTAATTGAGGATCTCCAATCTTCTTCAGTAGCCCAGTCGTTCCCCTTCTTCTCAGGGATCCTCCATTCTCATAAACTCATTAGGTATCGTTTTCCCTACAAATGATTAGAGAAGTCGATTCAATCATTAACTGAATAATAGGAATTACAGAGTTATATAAGATATTAAACTCTAACCTACACCTGACTAATAGCATCACACTATAACTGTTGTAGACTATTCTATGACCACATAAATAGAATCATGTATTATACAAATAATAATATATAAAATAACAACTGTGTTGGTCCCAAAGGGGGTGTGGTAATAGTCTAGGGGGGGGGGTGAATGGACTTGGAATACAACAATTGTTGAGGCGATAGAGATATCAAAACTCTTAACTAGATTGTTAGAGTCTTGTACGCAACGGAATAAATAAAAACGAGTTGTGTGATTGTGTCAAGTATATCAACGTGATAAACAGTAAGTAAATAAAGTAGTAAATGACACAAGGCAATTTATAGTGGTTCGGAGGTGATGTAATCCTCCTACTCCACTTGCTCTTATCGTCCAAGAGCAATTCACTATATCCACCACTTCTTGGTTCCTAGATATAATGAATTTCCGTGATCTAGTGCTTTTATCACTAAGCCCACACTAATCACGCCCAGTGCCTCCAACACTGCTGCTTCAAATTTCACAGCTCCGTTCTACTTTCCAGGATTTCACAGCTCCGTGCTACTTTCCCCTCGTCTTCCACGATCCGGTCGACGTATCCCATGATCTGGTGCTTTGATCACCAAGCCCACACCAATCACGCCCAGTGCCTCCGACACTGCTGCTTCGGATTTCACAGCTCCGTGCTACTTTCCAGGATTTCACAGCTCCGTGCTACTTTCCCCCCATCTTCCACGATCTGATCGACGTATCCCGTGATCTGGTGCTTTGATCACCAAGCCCACACCAATCACACCTAGTGTTCTCCAACACTGCTGTTTCACTTGTTTGTAGAAAAACAAGTTCCACTAGCTTCCAACTTTGAGACTTCTTGAATGGATCTTCAATATGCAGCAAGTCTCTCAATGATGAAGAATTAAACACTCTTGAATATTTTCTCTTTGAGCTCTCTGAGTGTTTTTCTCACTTGAATATTTTCTCACTTTTGAGTATAGCACTTGTTCGTATGTACTGTTTGTTTCTTGTGTTGGAAGTGCTTTGATCTGCTTCATTCTTCATCCTTTTATAGCTAGTTTCGAGAAGTTGTCCATTGGAAAAAGACAATCTCAAATTTGAATTTCAAATCTCAGATTTGAATTCTTGTAGCCTTTGCAGAAGATCTGTAGCTTTCTCAGAAGATCATATTAAAAATAATATCTCTGACTTTGGAGATATTTCGGCCGTTGCATAGCTCTTGGTCCATGTGAAGAGATTCTTAAAATATTTCTAATGCAGATCGTTTCTTCACGTGAAGGTGCTCCTTAAAATAATTCTGATGTAGATCATGCCTTCTGGGACTTTCATCTTCTGTATATTTTAATCTCTCTGTATGGCTACTGATGAAGTTGTTTAATTTCGACCAATGAGATCTCTTGATCTGGGTCTCATATTGATGGTGAGAATTCAATCCTTGATTGGAACTTCTTCTCCAACTTTAGCTCTTACTATATATAGTTTGATGAAACTTCAGCTCTAACTTCAGGTCTTACTATGTATAGCCTTTGAAACTTCATCTCTAACTTCAGCTCTTACTATATATAGTTTTTGAAACTTCATCTCTAACTTCAGCTCTTACTATATATAGTTTGATGAAACTTCATCTCTTTGACTTTGACTTGCAAATTGCATCTCTAACTTCATCTCATACTGCATCTCTAACTTGACTTCTCATACTTCATCTCTAACTTGACTTATGAAGACTTTGACTTGCAAACCGCATCTCTAACTTCATCTCCAATCTCTATTATTTAATTGATTTCGACTTATGAAGACTTTGACTTGCAAACCGCATCTCTAACTTCATCTCCAATCTCTATTATTTAATTGATTTCGAAACTGCGTTTGAAACCTCTGCTCCAACTTAGTTTCGAAACCTCTTTTGAAACTACATCTCCAACCGATTTCGAAACTCCTTTTGAAACCTCTGCTCCAACTTCATCTCTTCTTTAGTTTCGAAACTTCTATTGAAACTTATCTCCTACTTCATCTCCTTCTTAGTTTCGAATTACTTTTCTTTAGTTTCGAAACTTCTATTGAAACTTCATCTCCTTCTTAGTTTCGAAAACTTCTATTGTAACTTCATCTCCTACTTAGTTTTGAATTACTTGAATTAATTTCGAAACCTCAGCTCCTACTTCATCTAGGCTCCTTTAAATTTGCCTTATAAAATTATAAAGAGTGAGTTTCGAACCTGAAACCTTGCAATTTATACATTAAGCTTTCATCCATCTCGTCTTGTACAAATTATTAATCATTATAGCATCCTTCTTGATGTACTTCTTTCTTTCCATAGATGCTCGATCTTCAAGATAACTTCATGAAATTTCGTTTGCTTCTCGTTTCTTCGTATGAGATTATCAGTATGACTTCTTCTTGAGTTGGGGCGTGTGGGCTTATTTAAGTATACATATCATATGCATACATCTTCTTCTTCGTATTTTTCCCTTTCTCTAAATTTGTTAATTTTCCTTTCATGGTCTATGACACGCTTAGACTTAACAAATAAAATTGGGGATTCTAAAATACAATTTGGCATATAAAAATCTATTACAATATATTCCTAACAATTTCCCCCCTTTTGATAATGCCAAAATCCTATACTCAGTCATTGGCTTTAAGTCTTTTGAAAAAATATTTGTTTGCTTAATTTTATTTGACAAAGCCATGATGAGTTTAACAAATATTTTCTAGGAAAAATAAATTGACTCGTGAATTAATTTTAGACAAGTTCCTAATACGCATTTGCATATTTAGTTCTAATCATTTTTCTATTTTGTTATGCGTTTTACATGCTTGTCTTTTAATTCACATACTAATTACAAGTTAAGATATCAAAAAAAAAAAAAGAAAATATAGACCACTTTAGGAAATTAACTTGTACGATCATAATAAGGGAAAATAC